TTATTACTGTACAGGGTATGTACTCTACTGCAAATTTCTTTAACAATATTAAAGGGTAGAGGTGTTAGGCGCGTCTCTGCAACAGAGCGTGATCGGCATTCGGGCCTTTGCTGATGAGCGGCATAAATTGGACAGTGATTACATAAGATCATCAAGATCGTCCTAGCGAAATGAAAGTGTAAATCGAAGTAGGATTTTTAATGCTAGACGCGATTGTATTTTTGAAAACTCAATCTCCACCGAGTTGGTGGTACTGTACAGCCCAGGTCAAGAGGCCTACAACCACAAAATCATTGCCATATGACAAAGCTTTTATTTTATTTTTTTACAGAGTTGTGGTCACGGCTGTGATAAAGGCCAACCAGGGAGTGTAGTACTGTGCCTTTAGTTAAATCAGTTCATAGTGGCATCAGTGACCGCGGACGAGGTTGTAAATAACTTATAAGTGAATACAAATTGGCAAGCAAACTGGCAAGGCACCACTGCCAGCAGAAACCAAGTCGTGTTATAGGTGCCACAGACTTTAAATTTTATTTTGTTTGTGTGCTTTCTCATGGACTGAAACTATGCCTACAACTCACCATTCACAGGGAGATACAGTGTACACAGCGATAACACAAAGAGATATAGTCGTTGATGAGAATGGGAAAAGAAAGTATAAGGAAATACTAGTTGAAAAAAAAATCAACAAGCTTGGCTATCCTAAAAGGCATTTTATTACCGCCCCAAAGAAAGTTTTATTTTATTTTTCTGTGTTTCTAAAGGACTGAGTGGGTGTATAAAATCCGTTATTCATAGCAAAATGCAGTGTACATAGAGATAGCACATAGATACCGACAAATCGCAGAAGTGAACTGAAAAAAAGAAAAGAAGAAAAACAGAAGACAACCCTAAAGGCAACAGAGGAGGTTAAAACCATCAGAGGGCAGCCAAGTACTGTTTTTTTTCTTTATTTTTAAATAGGTGTAGATCTATACACAGTCTGCACCCCCCCCCCCACAACATCAACAACAACCATGAGTATGATATGTGATTACTGCAGGGGGATGACGGATATGGAGGATACAGGCCTGACCCTTGCAACGTTTAGGACGATGTAAGCTGCAGTAAAGCATGGAGGCTGTTGCTGGTATTGCCCTGAATGCATAGTCAAGGTGAAAGAGGCGATTGCAAGCCATTGGGGAACGAGTTCCCTAGGGATGAAAATAGATGAAGCTGGAGCCTTACTGGTTGCCAAACTAGAACAAGTTGGGAAAGAGATCCTCGCTAAGACTGAGGAAGTAGCCGATAGAATGAAGGTGGTTGCGAAGAGGAATTATGCTGAGGCATTAGCAGGGCCACGGGAGGTGCAAGATATCACGGGTTCGATTCCCGGGCGGGTGGAAGTTGTTTGGACATACTTCCTAGCCCCCATTAGTCCCTGTTCACCTAGCAGTAAAGTAGGTACCTGTTGTAAGTCGAAAGTTGCGAATTCGTATTCAGGGAGTTGTTGGAGCTTTTAATAACATGATGACATAAACCACTGACTCTTCAGGCTTCTACGCCCTTGACTCTTCAGGCTTCTACGCCCTTAACTCATGAGACATAAAGGCAAGCATGAACTTAGCATGCTTCCCTGCTGGGCGCTGTAAACGCTTCTGCGCTTCACCTTACACAAGGACGTAGAGGGGTGCCCAATTAAAAAAAAAAAAAAAAAGTTCTACAGCAGCTAGGGACTCTAAAGAAGTGTGTCGAAGAAATGAAAATTAACGGACCTACTGTTAGGGGAGAGGAGGAACAACGGGAATATTTCCAGCGCAGGAACAATGTAATAGTTGTTGGAGTCCCTGAGAGCCAGGCGGAGGGAACTGAGAGTAAGATAGCACACGATAAGATGCAGTTTAAGAATATTTGTACAGAGGTTCTGAAGATGCCATCAACCCCTCAGGATGTGAGGAGGCTGTGACAAAAGCAGGGGGATAAGCCTCGCCCCCTCAGGATCACACTAGTGAGTGAGGAGGAGAAATGGGAGGTTATTCGGCAGGCAAAAAACTTAGCAAGGAGTGAGGCATTTCGGAGTGTATTCATTCACCCAGATCGCACGGTAATGCAGAGGGAACAGCACAGGAAGCTCCTGCAGGGCTTGAAGCAGAAGAGGGAGAAGTCGAAGAGGAATAGGGACGGGTGTACAGTACATGGGTTTTATTCAGGGGGAGAGTAGTGAAAGCAAGTGTGCCGACACAGGGCCAGGGGCAGCAGCGCACCCTCCACCCGCTCTACCCCCCACCCGGGAGGTGGCACCAGCTCCGCCTACCTAATTGAGGTGTATAAGCATCTCAAGGGGCACTACTCAGTCGAGTGTCCTTACTTGGAGCTGGCGGACGCTCGCCCCACAAGGGGTCACAGCTCAAGATTGAAGAAGCAGCAAGTCCAGAAGACTGTGAGGGCAAACTTTTTTTGAGTGAGAGTTGTGAACTCTTGGGACAATCTACCAGAAAGTGTTGTGACGGCACCGAATGTGAGCTCTTTCAAGACCAGACTTGACCAGGTTCAGGTACATTCAGGAGCCGGTGCATGCCCAGTACTCGCCAACAGTACGTAACAGAGACGTGACCGATAACTCAAGCGGGTAACGAGCCGATCAATTGGTGAAGAGGATAAAAGAAACAGAAAAGTAACAGAGATATGACTGATCGCCCAAGCGGCAAACGAGCCAATCGGTGGTGAAGAGGATAAAAGTAAAGTATAACTCACAACAATTATGAAATTAATTACAAACATATTCAGGAAAATTGTCAAACAGTAACTACAGTATTTGAAGCAACAGTAATGACAATAATGATAACAATAATAATATTACTGTACTAATAACATTAAACAACAATAATGTTATTAATAATGTAATAACAATACTGTAATCATATTAACAATGAAATGATAAGATAAAATAAATAAATATTCTAATAATAATAGTGTAAAACATTCTCATTTCTATGAACTATGTGCAGAATACCTGTTCCATTAACCTTACCTCACACTGTGTAACAATGTACAAACATTAAAAATCTTAAAATCGTATAAGATGTTTGTGAGTGTTTTCATCAAGTGTATGTGTGTCCAAGTACTTCCTGTAGTGTTGTGGGTGTCTTTCAAACAATATACAGTATATGTAAGTATACAACCATTGTTGCATCAGAGGTGTTCATGTTCAATTACATGTTGGATGATGGAGAAGATATGTAACCGAAATATTAATTTCAAGAGAACGCGCACACACACACACACACAGAGCAACTTAAAGCAGAAATACAGCACAAGTAAATGCATGTAGTCACAATTACTGCCAAGAATAACTAATCTGAGTGACAGGTAAAGTAAAAGACACAACATATCTGCTCTGAGAAACTTACAGGTACTGCACTGTATTTCTCTAAGGTAACCAACATCAATGAAAGCATGGCACTGAAGAGCTGTGTACTGTACTGTACTGTATTGTACTGCTTATGAATAACACACCTTTTCACATATCCGTTGAAACATTGTTACATAACTATTTAACAAATTTCATAACCGATTGACAGACAGAACACATATCGAATGACAATCTAAAATAACTGTTGGTTCATGCTAACGGAAATGATTGACATAAGTTATGAAGTTGACAGATGTGAACAATAAACTGACAGTCTACATACAGTTTGAGAATGTAACAATTGGAGAATGACATACCACCAACAGTTATTTTAGATTGTCATTCGATATGTGTTCTGTCTGTCATTCGGTTATGAAATTTGTCAAATAGTTATGTAACAATGTCTCAACGAATATGTGAAAAGGTGTACTACTACAGTACTGTAAATTTTACCAGTCCAGTACAGTCATATACAAAACATTACAAATACATAACATCTGCATTTTCCTCATGTAGATAATTAGATATTGTATTTTTTTCCAGATACATTAAACATTGTAAACCATCCCAGAGTGTTGGAAGATGGTTGGTTATTCAGACAATGTTAGAATGATTAACCAGAATTTTCAATATTCCGAGAAAATATATGGAAGAACAATGTTTATGATTCAAAGTAATGAAATTTAATTCTGTAATGTTGTAATGAGTTAATGTGAAGATATAGAAGAGTTCTTTTTACTTGGAAAACACTTAGCATTTGTAAATAACATGACATTTTTTTTTAAACTTGGATCTCCACATTGTTTTACTTAATAGTGACCAGTAGTAACAATTTCTCAGGTCTATCAGTCTGTTTGTGGAGAAATAAAGAACGTCTTTCTATTATTTTACATGATCACTTAATAGCTTCAATCTATGACCTCTTGTGTGTGTGTGTGTGTGTGTGTGTGTGTGTGTGTGTGTGTGTGTGTGTGAAACCTTTTATAATTTGAACAAATGGTCTGAGTTACATTAAGAAACACTTCTCTTCGTTATGCCACCGCTTATCTGTGATGAGTCTCAACAGAAGAATAACTGCATTGTCATTGAAGATCAAAAATAGTTTACGAATTTCGGGGAAAAATGAGGGAGATAAAGTTCACTGTAGCCTATTACCCTATCTCGAGCCAATTACCCTATCTCAACTTGTCTGTTCGTAAGGGATCTCAAACCTACATAAGCGATGCCTTGGACTGACTTGTAACTGTTCACTAAGGTGTACACAACATGGACATTGGTCACAACTTTCCCATAAAATAAGTGTGTATGTGTATCGTACAGCAGCACCTAACACTTACAACACTTAACAAGCAGGTCAGACACAAGCAGTTGAAAGGTTTGCTAACATGATTACGTTTTTAACACAAACTGTCATACCATTACACTGCATTCTTCAATGAAACTTGATCTTTCAATACATGTTTCAACAATATAAACAGAATTTTATTATTGCATTTTTCAGTACACTATAGTACTATATTAACTAAGGCTATGGTTAAACTAAGCAATTGTACAGTACTGTTTCTGAAACTTTGTTCATTCAACAAATATCAAAATAAATACTTTCAGCTGTATCAATATAAAATTTATTTACATCATATTATTATAGTATACATGAAAAATATAGTTATAAATTTTATATTCTTATTTCCATTGTTTTATAAATACTGTGTTTAAGCGGGTGTTACAAGATTATCCTGCTACTGTACAGTACAACATGAGATCTTCCAGTAGTGACAGTAAACTAAACTAACAGCAAGACCCTCCAGTAACCTCTATATGTACTGTATTTTGTTTTGTGGTTACGTGTGTTATGTTTAAGTAATTACAGTACTTTACAATATTGTACTGAATTTATCCTCTTTGCCACTTGTCAGCCTCGAGGCGCATCACATCATTTTCAGGCAGGTTATTACAACAGTTTACAACTTTTTGTCTAATTAAGTAAGTCTAACAGTTTTCTGTACTGATAGCTTATTTAATTTGTGTTTAAATACGGTACAGGTATAAAGGTTAATACAATATTCAACACACAAATGGGCAATTAATTCTTCTATTGAATAATTTTTCAATCTTTATACTCTATTTCCACAAGAAAAACTGAAGTGTTTGGTAAAAAACTTGATATTAGTTACACCGGACGAATGTGTAGCCAGAGAACATAAATACAGCATTGAGTTTAACTGGGGCTCTTTAGCTTAGTTTGATTAGTTCATTTTTGCATCTCATAAAGATTGTAAAAATGCAAAAGACATTAAATTAATAAGATGAGGCATAAAAACATAACATAATACTGTATAAGGCTCCAGAAATGTCCTGTTTAATTATTACAGTACAGTACAATATAGTACTGGTACATGAAACATCTAATGAATGATGAGCAATATAAGCATAAGAAAGTATGAGTTTACATTAGAATACAGTGAGATAACTTTAGTGCTTGTGTGTAATGCACAATTGTTGTAGTGAATATTTCGTCTCGGAAGTTTGTCTTCAATTTTGTATGAAGAACAAAGTGCTTGTTTGTTTCTTCTCAAACGGATGTGAAACTTCAGCACTGAATGACAATATAAATTCAGGATACTCTACAGTACATAATAAAAACCCGAACAATACAGCAATACAGAACATGAGTTTCTCTACCAACTACAGTGTTCACCCTATAGCCAACACTCCACTATCACATAGAGAACATCACACATTCTCCACACACCTCATGAAAGGCTTAACACAAACGCTGTTAAGTCTTGAAGATAATTTTTTCTTGCATTAGTTCTTAAGAGAAGGAACCGAGATGGCGACTGGACTCAGTACATCTTCAAACAAGTGAGGAAATGGATAAAGTACAATAATATCAACACAAGGAAACACACTGCTCCCCTGCATTACAATGTGTTTGTGAAGGCTTTCTGATGTAAAATATCCTCTTGGTTGCTTTTCCTGTTAACTATTGCAAACAAAAGTTAATGTTTCCATAATGTGTTCAAACTGGGAGCAATGGAAGGCTATGGTAGAAAAACTGAATAGGAAAGAGACAGAAGCAATATGGAGATGGCAAACAATATCACACTTTTATCTCTTCTATTTAAGAATGTACGGTACATCATTGTTTTGATATGTACGATGTTAGTTCACCTTCAAACTGTTGTAGAAGAAGGAAGCAATACAATGATGTGAAATATTATTAATGTTAAAAACTTTTTAATTTAACTGTCTTACTGGCCACTGAAGAGTAGTGTTACATTATACTTACGGGTAATATCAGAGGTTCAAAGTTGCCACAGTACTGCATTGTCTTAGCAAGCTGAGTGTGAATGCATGCAAAGAAAACATTGTAGTGTGTCTGTGGGTATGCATAAAAATTAAGGTGTTTTGGGGGATGAATATGTAAATAGCTTCATAACTCATCTTAATTTTTGTATATGACCCAAAATTTTAGGTAATTAGGTCTTCATTGACGACACCTACACACATAAAGGTTCCAAAATAAGACACGAACCAACTATGAATTTCTGATACGACTCCTGTCTTAACTCCTGATATTTTGGCAGAGGTTTCTTATGCCAGCAGATGAACCAAATGATGCATAACCCATGTAATGTATTATTTATCCTCTTCATTACTTTGATTCTATAATTCCTGTACTGTACATTATAATATACCTTGGAGTAGATGTGAGAAGGCAGCTACCTTACTCATTTAAACACACAACTGGTGGTCTTAGTGGTTTCAAAATTCTTGTTATCTCTCCTGCCCAGTTAAGGGAAAAAATTAATGCACACATCTTTGATAAATGAGAATCAAGTTTTATAAATCAAAGACAAGTGTAATAAACAGCTGCTCTTCACTAAGCACAGAGGCCTCTTGTTTGAGATATTGTATTATTGTTGTGTTGCACTTTTGTTTTATTAATTTTTTTATAAATATGAGAGATTGTTTTTCTTCCAATATTTTTATGATGTTGCTGTACTTTTAATTTTCTAAATAAATTTGTTATAAAGACTCCCGAGTAATAAAAATAACTGAGTTGACAATGAATATCTACTGAGATATATGAGTACAGTACAGTACAGTACTAATACTGTATTACTGTAAACTCTACTACACCATTCATTATACAGTAACAGGTCTACACATCTGTCAGCATAAATGCAAAAATATTTCAAGTAAAGATCAGATCACGTGTCACATGCATAATTTTTCCAAGGATGTTTTACTGGGTACGATTTTGTTGTCTGTATGCTGGTTGTTAAACGTCTCAGGTACTTTTAGTGTACTTAAAGATATAGCAAATGCATTTTATTGGATTTTGTGTGATGGCTGTAATTAATCATTAAACCTGAAACTAAACAATAATATTTAGTCTCCTCATGCCCCAGCAACATGTAATTTCCTGGACTTATCAGAGGTGAACACGCACAAATAATGTAACTATATATAAAAAAATTCCTAATAAATCTGTACAGTTGATGAAATAGATTGCTGGAAAACCCGCATGCCCTGACTGCCAGAAAATCTAATGAGAAGAAGCTGGGTAAAACACAACAGAGAGTTATATCTCTCATAATGAATGATTATTGACTAGTGTAATCATTAACCTTGTTATGCGCTTAAACACCTTAGTTGTTGAAGCGTAGTAATAACATTATAACAATATCTTGGTACAGTCATAAAATCACACAGAGATTGAATAACCCTTAATATAAAATAAAAATAAAATTATGTACAGTAAATTAAATCAAGCATTCAATAGTACTGGAATTGTGGTATTTAAATAATCTTCCTCATTTTGGAATATTCTTAACTGTAGTCGTTGAAGAGGTTGTATGCACACGTCCTGAATTGCCTCGACAGTAGTAAAGTTGAGATCACCACGCCATGCAAATGTGGTAGCTCGGGAGTCTCGGAAAGTACTGTACGGGCTGCCGTTGCCCCTCCTTTTAGTTTTTCTGTTAGGAGTGGTGTGATCTTTGACAAAGGTGGCCACATATTTATTGTACGACAGTTGCAGGAATTTGAAGATCTCTCTGGCCTTTTTCCCTGGTTGAAGGCCCATGTCTTCATATCGAACCATTAGATATCTGTTAAAAAGATCACTTATAGTGCAATACAGCCAAATAATACAAAATAATGGCAATATAGTACAGGTATACTGTACTTGAATAGGTTGTGAGAGGCATTACATATACAATATACCAAGGAAGTTTAATATACCACAAGGCATTAAATTTTTTTTTTTAAGTTTTCATCATCATGTAATTAATAGCATCATCGTTGTAAATATATATGAACACAAAGCATCTCATTTTTTAACACATAAAAAGTACAGGAAAAAATGGGACAAGTGTACAGTAGTGGTCAGATCTATTCCTTAAGGCTTAAGGTGTCCCACTGCTAAAAACTTGGGATACAGAATTTGAAGTTGGATGATTAAGCTGACTACCTATGCAGTACAGTACATGGGTGATGAAAAACACTCTGAGGCAAGGAATTTTGGTAGGTCGAGGTTCAGGAGTATATTATTTAACTGAAAAGTCATGGTCTCCGTGTGAGGTGATGGTACTACTGAATGTAGCTTGTCATTATACTAACTGCTCAAGTATCTACAGAATAAGGAAAGTGATGACATATCCCTAAGTACTGAACTATACAATACTTTATCTTCATCGCTGGTGTGCAATGCTGGAAATTTTCTCATGAAGTTATCGTTGTTTTGATAGCACTCTCCTTTGTTGTAAGGAATCAAGGCAGTAAAGAGTTCCAACACCACACCCAGGCCACAGTGTTCCAACACCACACCCAGGCCACAGTGTTCCAACACCACACCCAGGCCACAGTGTTCCAACACCACACCCAGGCCACAGTGTTCAACACCACACCCAGGCCACAGTGTTCCAACACCACACCCACAGGTACAGTGTTCCAACACCACACCCAGGCCACAGTGTTCCAACACCACACCCAGGCCACAGTGTTCCAACACCACACCCAGGCCACAGTGTTCCAACACCACACCCAGGCCACAGTGTTCCAACACCACACACCTCAACACCACACAGGCCACAGTGTTCCAGCACACCCAGGCCACAGTGTTCCAACACCACACCCAGGCCACAGTGTTCCAACACCACACCCAGGCCACAGTGTTCCAATACCACACCCAGGCCACAGTGTTCCAACACCACACCCAGGCCACAGTGTTCCAACACCACACCAGGCCACAGTGTTCCAACACCACACCCAGGCCACAGTGTTCCAACACCACACCACAGTGTTCCAACACCACACAGGCCACAGTGTTCCCAATACACACCACACCAGGCCACAGTGTTCCAACACCACACCCCAGCCAGGCCACAGTGTGTTCCAACACCACACCCAGGCCACAGTGTTCCAACACCACAGGCCACAGTGTTCCAACACCACACCCAGGCCAGTGTTCCAATACCACACCCAGGCCACAGTGTTCCAACACCACACCCAGGCCACAGTTGCCTCTGAAGATGTCTTGAATAAAGACGAAAGCTAAGGTACTCCGTTGTTTCCATTTTCCCGTGTGATTTTATCAAGATTTATCTTATCCACGTTCGAATCCTGGTGGGTTGAGGTGTTGATTATATATATATATATATATATATATATATATATATATATATATATATATATATACTATATATATATATATATATATATATATATATATATATATATATAGTATATATATATATATATATATATATATATATATATATATATATATACTGGGATTAGACCTTAAAATTTACCACCCTAATGCCACTTGCTGATGGGCTTGGGTTGGGGTAGGTTAGTGTACCATTAAGGAGGTAAGTTAGAGTTATGAAGGGGATCATAAAGGTGATTAAGTTTGTTACTGGCACACATAAAGATTCTGGCACCTTAAGTGTTAGAGCCACTACCTACTATACAGTTTTACAAAACGTGAGCTTTGATATAAATGATTGACACATAAGTAACAAAAAAACGTAATTAACTTATACATTTATAACTAACCTGTCCGGGAAGTTTGCTTTAACAGTTTCAGAGAGTTTAAGGTCTGTTAGAAGATCTTTACAGACAGTCTCTGGGTCGCTGCAGGCCTGGGAGTGACACCATGAAAGCTTCCTGCGTGAGTGTAGACACCCTCGGGGATCACGCACAAGATGGATCACTCGCACATCTAAGCTCGTGTCCTGCAGCAGCTGAATCGCTGGAGAAAGTCCCATCCGCACCGTCTTCAACACATTAACAGGAGCGTATTTGCATGCCTCTGATATATAGTCTTTGTCGAAACAGAGGGCACGGTTCATGGCACAGGAATTCCACAGTCGAGTATTGTGATCTACGAGGAAAGTATTATTGCGCATGTAGTTCACATAGACATCTAGTTTACTATAGTCACACGTTAGGATGTCTCGAAGGAGTTTGAGTACCTCTTCAACCAACGGGCCATCCTGCAAGTGAAGATTTTTCAATAGGTGGTGGAGAGGCTCATAGCTGAAGAATGTTCCTGGGTATGCTCTGAGCAGGTCACCCAGGTACGATGATCCACTCCGCCAGGTGGAGACGATAATTACCCTGCGCACCTGTGAAGGAGACACCTTTTCTCCCGGGGTGAAATTGGTGTCCCTTTTAACATTATTGAATTCTCTTCTGATTATAAAGCTAAAGGTCGTCATGCCGTGTTTCTTCAGGTAGTCGTAAGATATGTGAGGCATGGGAGGAACTGTCTGTTTCTTAAGCACAGGTCGGCTACGATTGGCGCCAGTCCAGTTTTGACTCACCCGTGATGTCCTTGACACAACGGACTTATTATAGCTCTGCAGGTTGCCGGGTAGTGGAATGGCTCGTTGCTGTACTTGATTCTGATTACCAAGTTTACTTTGTGATTCTTCTTGCTGTAATTTTTGCTGTAACATTTGTGCCTCAAGTAGATGATGCTCCTGTAACTTATGCTGATCTTTGAGGAACTTCTTATGCTGTAATTCAATCTGTTGTAACCACTGTTCGTGCTGGCTACCATTTTGCTCTCGTGGAAGGTGTCTTTGTTGTGGTTGTCGTTGTTGTTGTGGTAGTTGCCGTTGTTGTTGTTGTGATGGTTGTTGTTGTTGTGGTTGTCGTTGTTGTTGTGGTAGTTGCCGTTGTTGTTGTGATGGTTGTTGTTGTCGTTGTTGCTGTGGTTGTCGTTGTTGTGGTAGTCGTCGTTGCTGTTGTTGTGGTTGTCGCTGTTGTAAGTGTTCCTGATTTTTTGGTTGTTGTGGACGACTGCCAACTATACTATCATCACCATCATCATCATCATCCTCAACGAGTAGAACACCTTGTTTGGCTAACTGTTCCCGCTCTTCTTTAGTGAGGTGGACAGGTGAGTGTGGAGGAGCCGCGGAGTGAGTGGGGGAGACGTCCTGGTGGCTGGAGTCAACAGGCGAATCCAGCGGGAGGAGCGGAGGAGACACCACACTCGTTGTTCCTTCACTATCGTCGTTGGCAATCCTCCTGCGTAAAAATCCTATCCCGTTCTCTCCTGCAAGAAGTAAGGGTAGTTAGTATGACTTATTGAGAAACTACTTCAGGACATTATACAACAACAATAACCACTGAGGAACTTTTCAATACTAATCCTACATGACCCAGTCCGCGCTGACACGACTCGACTCGATCCTCTTCGCCACTCGTCAGCTTATTAGTTGGTCGGGCGGTCGGTTAGCTCTTTGTTACATACTGTTGACCTATTTATGGTCTCCTTATTACGGTGGAGAAGGTTATTGAGGTCAGAGCCAGCCTGATACCCATGTCTTTACTGATCAAAGTCTTGGTGATTTTCTCTCTCTCTCTCTCTCTCTCTCTCTCTCTCTCTCTCTCACCGCGGTTGACACCCAAGAGCCTATGGACTCAGTCTAACCTGATTTCAGTTTAAAATATTTAACCTAACTCAGCTAAATCACAACAAAGTAACCAAACCCAACTAAATCTAACCTAACCTGACCACACCACACCACACGCCAGAACACTAAGCTTAAGCCAACATTACCTGGTAGAGGGATAGTGGTCTGTAGCGGCTTCACACTGAACACCACCAGTAGCAGGGCGCCCGTCAGAGTGAGTGACAGCAACACCCAGTGCTTCCTGCGGACTCCTATCAGCATCACGCCTCCTGCAACCATAAGGCGACCACTTAATTCCACTGTGATCTTACCAACCATAGGCACATCAACACTACAACCATACATGATGAACTGTCAATAGAACTGAAATAAATAAATAAATTATGTAACCTTATAATTATCGTACTGTAGTGAGGGGTTGTCAGACCACAGCTTACATCGTGAGGAAAGCCAGACTTGACCCGACATTAGCCGAGGTCAAAAGTATAGGGTAACTCTGCGGTTGACCGGGATTGTAAATCAGCATAGCTCCCCTCCCATGTGACATGTGGCCCCAACAAAACATGTAAGAAGGCACCAGCCGACTCTCTTCCAATATACAATAACCTACTCTCTGAACAAAGGCCGGACCTGACCTCACAATTAGCCAGGTCAAATGTAACCCTTGGAGCCCAACTCAAGGGGCCACAAATCAACCAGGGCCTCTCGTGTCACACGGCCCCACCTGATGACTTCTCCTTACATCTCAGAAACTCCAGTCTGACCCGACGTTTGGGAGGTCAAGTGTAGGGGAACTCTCACGGTTGCTCTCCCAATATACACACGGCCCCACCTGATGACTTTCCCAGATAGTTCTGAAAAGTCCAGACCTGACCTCACATTTGCGAGGTCAAATGTAAGGAGACCCTTCGCCGCGCCCCCCCCCTGCCAGCTGAACCTGACGGCTCGCATCCCAATATATAGGACGTCCTGGTCCTCCCTCGGGGATTCGCAGAGAGGGAGTTGTCTTGTAACCAGGGAGAGCCAGCTACCACGTCCCCAGTCCCGCTCGGCAGAGAAGCCCACCACTAAGTGTAACGAAGTCTCAGCTGGGTCCATCGACAAAGTGCTGTCAACTCCACGTGTAACAGTAAGTGCTGGCTGTGTAGACTGTAGAAGTGCAGTGATCCCGAACCTCCCCAACGATCGACTTAGTGAAGTGCCCATTCTAATTGTGAGGTTAGGTTATACGAGAATACCATAGTCTATCATAAATTGTGTACGAACCCCCCCTATTAATCCCCCCTATTGAACTAGTAAAATAAAGCTGTAACACGCATTGGTGTTTTATATACTACACTTGTACTGTGCCTGTGTTAATATACAGTGTTGACATCATACCCTCGAGACACGCTACCATTTCCTCTCGCTATAATACTCTACTACTATAAACTCCTAACTTACCTCTTCATGTGAGATTTTGTCTCATTACACCAACATATATAATTCATGGGTTTATCCGACTTAAAACACTAAATTTACCAAGAAGACCTAAAACTCACGGGTTTATTATAAAGACCTAAAACACACACACACACACACACACACACACACACACACCAGGGTTTATCATCACTACGAGCACCTGTTAATGACGTTGAGCACCTGGGATCATTACGAGTGCATCAACTAGACATCAGAACCCATAAAAAGCACTAATTAGCCACCTGAGGTCATAAAACACACATGGTAGTCATTATGAGCACCTGTGAGCAACTTAGCACAGTTATGAGCTATTAGGCACCTGTGAGATACTTTGGTGGCACCTGAATTATGGAACACGTGGTATTATTAAGAGGAAATGACTATCACGTGAAGTATAATACAAAACATGTGGTATTATCAAGAGGAAATGACTATCACGTGAAGTATAATACAAAACACGTGGTATTATCAAGAGGAAATGACTATCACGTGAAGTATAATACAAAACACGTGGTATTATTAAGAGGAAATGACTATCACGTGAAGTATAATACAAAACACGTGGTATTATTAAGAGGAAATGACTATCACGTGAAGTATAATACAAAACACGTGGTATTATTAAGAGGAAATGACTATCACGTGAAGTATAATACAAAACACGTGGTATTATCAAGAGGAAATGACTATCACGTGAAGTATAATACAAAACACGTGGTATTATTAAGAGGAAATGACTATCACGTGAAGTATAATACAAAACACGTGGTATTATTAAGAGGAAATGACTATCACGTGAAGTATAATACAAAACACGTGGTATTATCAAGAGGAAATGACTATCACGTGAAGTATAATACAAAACACGTGGCATAATTAAAATAAAACGACTAACAAACCACCTGTGATGCTCCTCGGTGCCACATCTGGGATCATTATAAGCCTTAATGATACATACTAATTATAAGAGTCATTAAAACAAAAACAACCAGTGACGAACCCGGGATTATTAACAGGTTGCTTAAACAGAGTCGACAACAGGCAACAAACGGTGACCTAAAACAGGTCAGAGAGAGAGAGAGAGAGAGAGGAGAGAGAGAGAGAGAGAGACAGAGAGAGACAGAGAGAGAGAGACAGAGAGAGACAGAGAGAGAGAGACAGAGAGAGAGAGACAGATAAACACCAGATGACTCTATTGAGATATCCTTGGTCACACTGCCTCATAAATCTTCACCACCGTTTGTATACATGCTGAAACAAATGTGAACTTGGGTGACGATTTTAATGAATATCTGTCTATCTATCTACAAACAGATGGACAGACAGACGGACTATATGCCCCCCAAAAAATATCCATTGACAGGATGGGAATGCAAATAAGTTAAAAGTAAAAAATTAACATTCAAATATTTCATAACGCGGGCTTCACAGACACCCAAAACTGCCTCGATTAATCTCTCTCTCTCTCTCTCTCTCTCTCTCTCTCTCGTAATCAATCAGCGTGTTCACTCCTAGCCAATCTTACTTTTGCTACTATGTTGAAATTTTCCCCCCTTTTTTTTATTCTATATCATATTTGTATCACTTAAGTTACTTGTATATTATTTGTAACTGTATTTTCAGTGTTTTGGCTGCCATGTTATTTCAATGAACCGTTAATTATATTATTATTATTATTATTATTACACACACACACTCCATCCCTTCCTTCTCTCTACCCCCCCACACACACACTCCATCCCTTCCTTTCAACCACACACTCCCCCTCCCTTCCTTCTCTCTACCCCCCCACACACACACTCCATCCCTTCCTTTCAACCACACACTCCCCCTCCCTTCCTTCTCTCTACCCCCCACACACCTCCATCCCCTTCCTTTCAACCACACACTCCCCATCCCTTTCTTCTCTCTACCCCCCCACACACACCTCCATCCCTTCCTTTCAACCACACACCCCCCTCCTTCCTTCTCTACCCCCCCACACACACACTCCATCCCTTCAACCACACTCTCCTTCCTTCTCTACCCCCAACACACACACTCCATCCCTTCCTTTCAACCACACACTCCCCTCCCTTCTCCCCCCCACACACACACACTCCATCCCTTCCTTTCAACCACACACTCCCCCTCCCTTCCTTCTCTCTACCCCCACACACACACCTCGCCCTTAATAACCACGGCAGCCACAACAAATGGATTTAACTTCACTACTAACACGGGACAAACAATGGTGAACAACTCAAACAACAAAACACCAATACAAGCACCATTGAAGGCCGTGTTTACATAACAAACAATTAGCTCCGGTAGTCATTTTCACCCTAATTTGCATATCGCTGTTTTTGTTTCTATCATATCTGTAACATTGACCGACAAACACAGACAGAACGGGAAACAGATGTATAGATACACAGAAAATGTTGGATACATAGGTATAATAAACAGATAAACCAAAAGACAAACAGATACATAAATAGACAGACACGGGTTTCTAATTTAAGAAAACAAGAAAACATAAATCACGGAAAAGGTTTGAAATTACATGTTTGGTGAGGAATGTTAACTTGCGCAGTACCGCCTGGCGCGGCTCTCCACTAGGCTTTGCAGCAGCTGTACAGTAAAGGCGTTTATTGTAAGGCGTTTTAAGATACACGGAATAGCTAACGCGTTAGTAATAAAAACATACGGCAGTGTACCGCATTCTTGGAATAACTGTTGCACAACATAGTCTTCAGAAAACAATAAAATTAGGAGAACTTTTTTTTGGACACAATACGGAAAGAAATAGTGAAGCAAATATATAGAAAATTGTGGAAAGAAAGACAAAAAAAAAGTCAGTCAACAATAAATAAGACTTAACACAAAAAATCGGGCCCGTTGTAAAGGAAATTTCTCCCAGACACGAACCACACGAAAAGACAAGAGCAGCTGTACGCTTCTTCTCTCGCGGAACTGTAATCAACTTGTTCACCCTTATTTAAAGTATCTTATGAGTAATGATATTAAATGTTATCGCCACTGGCTTCAGCTACAGTGATTTTTTACAGATTGTCCACGAGGGGGCTAGTTTATTGGGCACCCCCTTACATCCTGTGCAAGGTGAAGCGCACACAGTGCTGGCGTGTGCTGCCATTAAATCTTTCGACCTGTGACCTCGCCAGATGTAGACGTGTTTACAGACAAGTCCTGGTTCTGCTGAGTGGACTGTCTTTGGTGGGTGGCGGTGCTGCCCGCCCCGCCATGAGATGGATCGCCCTCTCTAGTGATGCTGTGAAGACCAGCCCTCTGCTGGCACTGGTGAACACAGACTCACAATCCTGTCCGAGAATTTGTGCTGGGACAATTTACGCAGTACTGTTGTCTCTTGGAACACCATACTGATCTGCATTGACCTGCAGTTGAAAGTACAGCCTAAGTGATGACATACCCCTCAGTACTGAAATATTGTTGACTAATTACACCTACTCGTTTCTGCCTAACCTAGAGTAATAAGACAATGTTTAATAAATAGTAATTAAGATAAAATTGTGTGAGACTAACTAATTATGTAACAGATGGATCACCATATAATATTATGAAGGTCTTCTCCTCTGTAGGTTTTGACCACATCAATAAATATTGAATGCGTCAAAAGGCGGGTTTCAATCATTCCCTTCGACTTGCCCGTCACCTGAACGTCCTTAACTAAGGCCTTTACATTAAAGTTTTAATCATATTTGAGTAATTATCAATATTGTTACATCAAAGTCACCAACGGCGGAGCCTAAACAGGTTTCAACTAGGCGCAATCCTTTTCAATTTT